GGGTGTAGCATACACAGCCGAACGTTGATAGTCAGGCTTTTGTCTGTGTATGCGCGATTAGAGGCTATATATGAAAAGCATGTTGTTCCACTTCGCGCGTTCTTTTGCAGCAGGGTTCCCGGAGACATAGAGTTCGTTTCACTGGGGGCAGCGAGTCTGGTACTCGGATGCACTTGCAACACGAACGTTATTGTGGCTTGCGCATGGATGCTCTGGTAGGGGAATGCTCTCGAACATGCACGGTATCGTGGTTTGGGCTTGGATGTTCTGGTAGCGGGCTACATTCGAACATGAACAAACTTATGTTTTGGGCATGGATGCTCTGGCCACCGGACACTCTCAAACATGAATGCGATGATTTCTGCAAGAGGGTTCCCGAAATACTGCGTTTTACAGGCTGAGATTGCTGTAGCCGACCCTGCCCCCACAAACTTCCAAGCGGAGCCCAACTTGACACGGTCGATAAACCTAGGCTGTCGGGAAACCCTAGGCATTTGGGTGAACCCTATACCCGAACCCGCCAGACCCCAAACCTTCAACCCTAATCCCTAAATCCCTAAATCCTCATCCCTAAACTCTAAACCCCAAACCTTAAAAACTTAAACACTGAACCCTAAACCCCTAAACCCCTGAACCCTAAACCCCTAAAATCGCCACACTCCAAACCCTCAACACACTCCAAACCTTCAATCTTCCCAGCCTGAAGGCCCAGAAGAGACCACGCCACACAGCCGCCTGCGAGCATTCGCCACCTCGCCTGCGAGTAGGGCTTATCCCTAAGGGTCCATGTACCCAAGAATAAGGTCCCCTTTAAAGGGACCTATAGGGGTATATAGGGATATATCGGGTTTAGGGTATTGAGGGTTTAGGGTTTAGGGTCCATGTACCCAATACTTGGGTACTTGGGATTTGGGTAATGGTAATTATAGTATTGGTTTTGGGTAAGTATATGACTATTAGGTACTTGGACCCTTAGGGTATAGGATGAAAGTATTTGGGGTTGAGGGCTTAGGCTTAGGATTTACGGCTTAGACTTAGATTAAGGGTTTAGGGTTTCAGATCTAAACCCTAAACCCTAAACCCTAGATGAGGTTGAGGGTTTGGGGTTTAGGATCGTAGGGTTTAGGGGTTAGGGCTTAAGATTTAGAACACCAGGCCTTCGAAGTGAAACGACCTCGCCTTTGAGTCCATGTCGCCATTTAAGCTACCCTAAGGGTCCATGTCCCCAATAATTGGGTACTTGGGATTTGGGTAATAGTAATCATAGTATTGGTTTTGGGTAAGTATATGATTATTAGGTACTTGGACCCTTAGGGCTACAGTCTAAACTCCTAGTAGCCCCCTTAATCCCCTATAGCCTATAGTAGTCCCTAAATAGCCCCCCATATAACCTCCTTTTATGGGTTTAGATTATGGCTCATTTGGGTAACTGTAACTGCCCGAGATGGAGGGCTTAGGGGCTTAGAGTTTTCGCTTTAGGGGTTTTGGAGCGGTTTAGGGTGTAGGGCTTAGGGCGCAGGATTAAGGATTATGGGTTTGGGAATGGGGGGTTGGTAGTTTCTGACACGAACCCACTGGATGTGTAGGATTGAAGAAGGATTCGATGCACCCCGTTTGGATTACATCAAGCACTCTTTTGTTTGGACAGAAGTACAGGTACGGTATTTTTGGAGCAGCGGCGCCCTGAAAACAGAACCCCACGAAAAGGTGGCATCCAGTATGAGCTTCTTCCAGCTTTGTGCAAGAGACATCCTACCAAGGTTTCTTTGTTTTGGTACCCCTTGTTACTATCACCCATGCTGGGTTTGAGCAAAACAGCCAGAACTTCGGCACAAGTTTGCACACGAGCTGCCTGTGGCATGCTACATGTACTCACCCTTTGGCTTGAGCAGTCAAGACGCGGCACACGGGTTCCAAGGGCTGAGCTGCTGAATTAACCCTAAACCCTAAGCCATTCATGTTCAAGTCTGCATCCCTTGAAGACCCCTACAACCCCCATAGCCCGCATGCAATCCCTTTTTGAATTCAATTTTCCATTTGTTCCTCCCTTATTTCCCTAGACTCTCTAGACCAAGGTCTCATCCCCCAAATACGTGCTGCTTGGTCACGGTTTAGGACTTCGGGTTTAGGATTTCAGGTTTAGGACTTAGGCTTCTGGGTTATTGGTAGCAGGGAATGAAGGGATAGAAGCCCGATATCATCATAATGTAACTCCAATTGTAGCCACACAATGGTACCAAGGACCCATTCCTTCAATTCCCATTAACAAGAGGCAAGCACTTCGGTTCTTCATAATCTTTGCATCCGAACTGTTTCGGGCGCTGTCAGAACTTGTGCCTCTTAGACAACATAACACCCAAAGGGTCCAAGTACACAATAATTGGATACTTGGGTTTTGGGTAATAGTAATTAATTATAGTATTGGTTTGGGGAAAGTATATGATTATTAGGTACTTGGACCCTTAGGGAATATAACAAACCATAATTTCGTACCTGCTTCTCACTACTAAGTGCGTTGTATAGAAGCCTCAAGGTATGTAGGGCCTGTCCGAGGCAAACCTTTAAGTTTATGCAGGGCTTCGTGTTCCCGAAAAGGTCGAAGAGTCAAGCCGTACATCCAAAAGCTAAGCTTATAAATCCTTCACCAAGGATAACCCTAAACCATAAACCCTAAAACCTAAAGGATACACAGGACAAACCCTAAACCCCTCCACCCTCACACCTAAGACACGAATCCCTAAGGGTCCAAGTACCCAGTATAGGGGATCATATAGGGACTAGTATAGGCTATAGGGGATATTAAGGGGGCTACTAGGAGTTTAGACTATAGCCTTAAGGGTCCAAGTTCCTAATAATTATATACTTACCCAAAACCAATACTATAATTACCATTACCCAAATCCCAAGTACCCAAGTATTGGGTACATGGACCCTTAGGGAATGTTAGTGGGTAATGGAAGAACGGATGCCTATGTTGGAGGTTTCTGGTTAAGGTCTTGGGGGTTTCAGCGTTCATGGTTTAGGCGCTTTAGGGTCTAGGGGATCAGACTTGCAATCTCCCATCAGATGGTAGCTTCCATGTTCTTGTCCACTCTCCCTACCTTAAGCCTGAGATAATACTTGCCATTTTGTTCTTCCACTCGCTACTAAAAACCTGCGAGAAAAGACACCGGACATGTAAGTCTTCAAGGCTTAGATATTCCTCAAGGCTTAGATATAGGCGCATAGAGCAATGGTTTGTCTCCCAAATCTGAGACCCAATATACACACCGACCAATATTCCTAAGGAACCCTTTGAACACTCACCAAATACCATATCAAAACCCCTACTTCATACAGGTTATCATATAATATGGTAAAACCTTGAGTGTTTCCTACCCTAAGCCCTAAGCCCTACTAGCTCCTACATCCCTACCCCTAAGCCCTCAGCCCCTCAACCTTGATAAAGCCGAAAAGCCTGAAAACCTAACCACCTCAACCCTAATAAGGCCCCAAACGCCTAAAACTTTAAACGCCTCAACATTAGCAAAGTCCCTAGCACCTAAACCCCTAAATCCGCAAATATACACTCCAAGTCTTATAAACCTGAAGCCACGTCTTCGAGGCCAATACTTGGAAGGGTAGTTGGTGTCGCAATCGTAGTTCATTCCGTTGAGGTCTGGCCTCAACTGTAGGGTTCTGGGCGGGGAAGGTTTTAGGACTGGGTTTTGGGTTTAGGGTTCAGGGGTATAGGGGATTGAGTCTTTTGGGTTGCGGGGTTTGGAGCTAGCCTGGTTCAACGAAGCCCTAGGCAAGCTTTATATGGCAAGTCTCACAAAGTTCTGACATCCTGTTTTGGGACGTCATTACCAGAAAGATTAACATTTTTGGGGGTACTGTACATAATGGGGAACCCTAAACCCAAAACCCTACATGACCTGGGTTTAGGGTTTAGGGCTTTCTCCGATCTCCCCCAAAGCAGTCCTGATTCGGTACGGCTTCCATATAGAGTTTGGTAAGCTTGGGTTTAGAGTTTAGGGTTTCGGGAACCTCCTATGTAGTTCCCTTCTGGCAAGTATATTATAGCACTTGCCCAAAACTCAAAAGTTCCCCGGAATCCCTAGTAGAACGTAGATTTGCATCTGCTAAACCCAACCCTGCATAAGAGTTTTCATTCTATTTTTCCATTATCTCAATATAGCCCCAATATTACCCCAATATAGCCCCTTATATACTCTATTATACTATAGTAGTTTCCATTCTATTTTTCCATTATCTCAATATAACCCCAATATAACCCCAATATTACAGCCTAAACCCTGGACTTCTGACATGCTTGAGAATAGCACCGGGGATCTGAAAAGCTGAGCTTATGACTAGTGACCCACACAAAACACCTGGCAACTGATTAAGCCTTAAAGCTGGGATAGCCGCATGTAGGTTTTTTTGGGATAAGGGAAAAGGACATGGAAACTGTAAAAGGTCGACTGGGTGGTTCAAT